GGATTTTAATCAACCACCCAGAAAGCCCAAGAAAACAAGTGGTTAAAGAACTACATCAGACCCATGAACCAGGTGAAAATGGAGTCACGCTCTTTCATCCCAACATATCTGAGTAGCTGATTTAGGGGAATCTCTTCTTGTAACACCTCTGCGTTCAATGCATCTAGTTCTCTCAACAATCGGAGGGGGAAAGAGTAGCTCTCTCTTTAATTTTTTTAAACCTCTGCTCATAGCAGGCTTTAGGTTCACATCTTGGCAAATTTAGTGTTTATATTTAGTTCAGTCTGTGTTCTATGTTGATAAACAGACAATTAACTCTGGTCAGCAATTATTCCAATTGCAATGTTGACTCATTGGTCTCATTCCAACTCAATTTATAATCACAATACCGAAGGACCTGGAAGAATTTAGTGCAAACAAAGCTGAAAATATCATTTTAGTCATTCAGACTTAATTTTTATCAAATGATTTGTTCTGATGTCATTTTTATCAGTCCATGCAACACATCATTAAATATCATGTAAAATGTTTATATAAAATGGTCAGTGCTGAGCTGTTCTTGTTCGACTTATGTGACATTAAATTATGTGTAAAAATATAATAAAAAATCACAGAACATGAAAACACCATTTCAGGACATTAATTGTTTTATCTGGTAAATTTAAAAAAAGTATGAATATTTCAGTTCAATACAGTTCAATTCAGTTTTGTTTATTTAGTGCCAGTTTGCCAATTCCGATCGCTGATCAGTTCATTTGTTTCTTTTCTTTCCCCAAAACTGCTCTTTTTAAAAAGTAATATAATTATATCCCATGTGGTCTGCCTGTGCCTCAGGATTCCCAGGAAGGAAAAGAATTAAAGGGAAAAGGACATCTGAAATATCCTGCTAAATCTACTCCATTCATCTAGCTGATAAACAGTAGAAAATTGATGTATGGTTGGTTGGATGAGTGGGTGGTTGGATGGAGAAACTATGAAAACATCAACATTATAAAAGCCATACTTCCTGAATTATTGGGTATTTAACATTAGAGTTAAATGCTGCAGTAAAAGCATCATTTTTAATCAGGATTGACTCACATTAAAAACCAGTTTGACTTTGCAAAAAGTGAATATCTCTGGCATTGAGATATTTTTCTACATTGTTTACTTGTCACTATGAAGCTTTTTTTTTTAAATGTTTGATGGTATGATTTCTTTGACTTTTTTCCAAGTCACTCTGAAGAAATAAAGGCTGAAGATGTTGACGGAAACACCTTTTAATTGCAAAACAAAGTTTTTATTATCCAGTACGTACCTCATAGTCAGGAGATGGGACAGGTGGACCTCGGCCTCCAGAGCGAGGAGGTGCTGGAAGACACAGTAAATACGACTTAATGCTTGTAATATCACTAATAACACAATTTCTCAACACTTAAAGATGTATTAAAGACATGAGGTAACCTTTAACTCAGCCAAGGCAAAAAGGTAAACTGTCTGAACTGACTGTCAGTGATTGGTCCAAGTGAAGTCTTACCTTTGGAAGGTTGAGGAGGACCAGCTGGGCTTTTCTTCTTAGAGCACCTGTAGACTATGACCATCATAATTATTGTCAGGAGTAAGTCCCCGACGATGACCATAAATAATGTGTTTCCATCGAGCTCAAAGCAGTTCTCACACACTGGAGGTAAAAGACCACAGATGCATCAAGTGTTAGAGCAGCATGAACAGCTAACACAAGTGAGGAAATGAAAAGATTCACTCACCATTTCCTTCAACATAGAAACGATATTTCTTTAACGAGTCGTATTCACATCTGTATTGGCCTTTACTCGTATATGAAAATGTATAGGTTTCGTTTGCGCTGCTATCTGCAATTGGTCCATTTCTGTCAATCCACTTCCCCTCTTTTGGACAGGTCAGTTTGACTTGGTTCCTCCAGATTTCTACTTCCCCTGGAAAAACATGGACAGATATTAAGATACTTCAGTGCACTTGCTTTGTCATGTTTATCAGATCTGATTACGTTTCACACAGAAAGGGACAATCTGAGAGCTCAGACAGCTTCCTTAAACTTGGCTCATGTTTTGCACATTGTGAATTTTCCATGCATTAATACACACCATTCAAATTTATTATAAAAAGAAATCCTTTAACATTTTACAAAAAGGGCCATGTCTGCTCACAATAAATATGTTCATACACTATAGCAAATACAAAAGTATATACAGTTTGAAAAGTGTATGTAGACATTAAAGCATATCGTCAGTGACATACAGGAAATCAGAGAAATTTCTTTGAAAATGCTCTTAGATGTCATATTTTTATGACAGAATGCATGTTTGTAAATCCAGAGAAGTTTACCGAGACTTTATGACTTTAAAATATTAAGTGAAACAAATGCCAGACCGTTACCTTGAGGCTCCTCAGCCATCGTGGTAGCAATGCCGAGGAGGACGACGACGAGCACAGCCTGGACACCCATGCTGAGAATTTTCTTCAGGATGCCTGTTTTTCTGTGCGCTTTGTGTGAGCTTTCTAATTTATAGATCAATTTTTCGAATATTTCCACTTGCAGATTTCAGTTACATAAAGAGTGCTGTTCAATAAGACGAAAAGCTTCAAATTAGACGAGGAGGTTCTCTCTCTCTCTCTCTCTCTTGTTCTGACACACACACATGTTGCACCCACAGGAAGTGTTTTTTTTTTCAAGATGAATTCACAGTTAAACCTCAAAATGAAGTCAAACTGAAGAAGTATACAGAATAGAAATGCTTCTGCTTGTTTTCAAATTTATTACAGATCAAAAACACAAAAAACTGCAAATGACAGCAGCTAACGTCACACCGCTTGAATGAGTAGCTCATATTTACAGTGTGGCGTATATGTCCATGCTCTTCAGTTTGCACCAAAACTCCCCCTTATGTGTAACCATTGTCTGAAAACATAGTCTGAATATTTGATGGTGGGGAATCAGTTTTGTGTGCAGTTTGTGATGAGTGAGGATGGAGGGGTTCACAGCTGCTCACAGTAGAACATATGATGCACTACTGTAAAGATCCTTAGATCAGTAAAACTTCTCATTCTGATCATTTTCCATGTGCATGATTAAAATACCAACATTTAACTCCAGTGAATCACAAAGAATCAAACATTTACAACCAAGCTGCAGTTTGTATGCTTCACAAACTGTGCCTCATATGCATCAGTATGTAACAACAACTCATAGATCAGTTTGAAATGATGGATAAAAGAAGTTTTTAGGTTATGAAAAACCTCTCTGTGACAAGTGTCTGAGCTATTTTTTGAGCCAACATGGCGGTTCCTGTTCTTAAACAGCACCTGATTTGTGTGTGACTTGTGGATGTTTTTTTTTTTTTTACATGTAACGTCCCTTCCCCCATTTCTTGTTGTCTTCAAATAACCAAACAGAAAAACGTCACTGATAAAAGACCAATAAGAGTTTCAGATATTCCGTTATAATTACAGATGATAATAAAATGTTGCCACAGCAGTCGAACATGTCTGGAGGCGACAGACGTCGAGACCCTGGCACTGAGAAAGCATTTTAATAACTATGGCTTTAGAATGTGTATTAACTATGAATAAACCATTAAACAGTGTGACTGTTTACTACTGGGTTTCAAGTGTGACTTAGGTGATCAGCTCATGAGTCAAGTGCATAGAGACGTCGCTGTTTAGAGCCCCTATCGTGTGCCTTCAACGTGTCCATTTGTATTTGTGTGTCTGCAACACATCTGCTCCACTCACCTCACCCGCCTGTCTGCAGTCAAGACACAGAGCAGATGTGTTTAGCAACTACTGGCAAAAATGTATAATAAACTAAGTGTTTAAAAAGTAGTACAAATACAAAGTACAAGTAAAACAAAAGGCAGTATCACTGCATGTACATCTATTTTTAGATAACTTGGCCTAGCTTAACCAACTATGGTAGCAGGGGGCTGGGGCCCAACCTATACAGATGTAGAGTAGACCATGGCACCTTGGAAAGGTCACCGTGTTCATCAAAAAACAGACAATCCAGCTATGGACTCTCACGTCTAGACTTAGCATCCATCACAGTTTACCTAACATGTATGTCTTTGTGCTGTGAGGGGAAACCAGAGGACCCAGAGAAAGGCACAGGCAGAACATGCAGGCTCCACAGAGATCGGCCCAGCCGGCGAGCAGATTCCTTACCTTCTCCTGAGGCACCACCATTCCTCACTTTACTAATTAACTTGTATTCCCACTGTATCAATTTCATTCACATCATGCAAACTTACGTCTGTAAGTCAAAATGCAACAGAACATGCTGGGATCTGAGCAATAAAGAAAGGGGGAGATGTGAAAACCAGTCTTCCTCACTGGCTTCTGACTGGACCTACAGAGCCAGTGTGTTCACATCAAAGTGCGGCTCTGCCCCCAAGTGGCTCAAGGCGGTAAACTGCGCACATACCTCTGCTGGTCAACAAGAAGCATCACAGTAACATCCTCCTGTTTCATGAGCGCAGCCGTGCAAGTAAGTGGTTTGCGACAGAGTAGAAGTCAATGTACATACATTCACTTTGATATTAAAATCACATTTGTAGCATGTAAAGAATAAACTATCAAATTAGTTTGAAAGCTACAATTTAATATCACGGTTACAGTAGCTTCAATATGTGGAAATTCTATATATCACATCCAGACTGTTCTTAAATAGCGTCTGTTGTCTCTGCTATACACAAAATAAAAAATAAGTAAAATACTAAATAAGTACAAGTTAAAGAAAATGTAGATGTATGTAAATAAATAAATACATGCTTTTGCTGTTTCATTTAATGATAAAACATTACATCATATAACACGAGAACATAATAATGCTTTAAAAGAACTAGTACATTTCCATAAACTCTTTAATAGTGATTTGGCCTCCAGGTTAAAGTTTTACGCAAGAGTCCACACGTGGCATCATGCCTCTGGCAGTAGAATAGGATGGATGACCATCAAGAATTCTCCGTCTCTAAGTTTTACATGTGAAAAGGAGATAAGAGGGCGGCGAGGAAAGTAGATGACTTTTACTCCGCCCGAAAATGTGAAGGGAGGGCGCTAAAAATGAACTGTGAGAGGGCAGTGGCCAGTTGGGACGCGTCTTTGGAGAAACGAGGAGCAGGCGAGGAATCACCGCGACTTCACGATTCAATCCCTCTCCAGAGGGCTTCCACAGATTTGCATCGCGTCTCTGTGGTTCGGTTGACCGCCACCGGTCGCTTTCTTACCGCCCATCCAATGTGCGTAAAGGGGCTCTATGTGTTCACCGTCCTGTCTGGACTCGCAGCGTCAGGTGAGAGCCGCTCATTTGAGTGAAACGGGGATTTTGGTTTAACGTGAGTTGCCGTTTGACATATTTTTTGTGATATATCAATTTATTTATTTTTTATGTTGTTTTTTAAATGTATGTTAATATTTTAAAAGTTATCCAATAACACGCTGTTTTATATTCATACCAGGACACTTACGCCTGGTTTATCTGGCAATTTGCGCGTATATTTTTGCGTCTGTACTTTCCAACAGTTTACACAGTGTCACATATCTGGGTTGACCCTGAAAGAGAGCTTCCAATAATAACAGCTTCAGAGTAAAAACGCTGATTGCCTGGCTTTTACTTACAGCTCCCCAGGGACCTTTAACCTCCATCTCAGGCCGGTGTCTTGCGTCACTGGGAAGTGGGGAACTTGGCACAGTGGCACTGGGTGGGTCACTTAAGAATTCCTGTAAAGGCTTTACAATACCCATAGTGGGGCCCATTCCAGACAAGATAATGGTTTAATAGCAATTACCGACATTGAACCCATTGTGTTTGTGGTTTCACGCAAACTCCTTTCCTGTCTATTAACGTGCTTACATTCACAGAGACTGTGAAGTGGCCCGCTGGCCTCAGATAAGTCCACCTGCTTCCCGTTAAGACAGGGGGAGTAAGAGAAGGGGGGCTGGTGTTCAGGATATGTAATTTGGATCATAACAACTTGTCAGATGCGCAAGGAAATGAACAATCATAGATCTTATCCACCTTTAAAAAAAGTTCCAGCCAACATCTAATCACTGCTTTGGCACGACTAATGGAACATGTTTTAATAGCATCGGTTGGCCCATCAATCAGTGGCAATTCATTCACAAGAAGCCAGGTTGCTTTAACCTTGAAGTAATCTCTGCCCATCCCGGTTAAGTGGATTATATTGATTGAACATGTCCATCCACTGCCAAAGCACCATGTAGGGATTCACTGTAGTGGCAAGCTGCTTATGTTTACAATGAGCATGTGCCTGCAGATCAGTCACAGCACAGGCTGACACTGACGGAGCAGGAGGACGCGTGGATGCAGAGGAACGGATCCTCAAATAACAGCATGTGGATGAAGAGGAGCATGTTGGGACTGATTACAGCTCAGCAGCACCTCAGTTCTCGAGCGTTTTGCGCTGTAATCACTACCATTGCCTTTGGCTTTATTGATAAAAAAAAGGGCAGGCATGACAAAACAAGCCAGCGCCACATTTTTGTGAGCCATGTAGGGTATAAAATATGCAGCCCTCTATGCAAAATAAATGGGATGTTTCTCTCTCGACTGCAAAAGCCTGTGAAGGTGCGATCAAAGCCAGTTTGTATTCATTTGTAGACTTGCTGCAAACAGAAAAGTCAGTTTTATGGGATTTAGGATGAAACAACGAGAACAATCACGCTGCTGCTGCTAAACATCACCGTCACCAACTGTTAAAAATCCTTCCCGGCTCAGAAAACCGTAATGAACTCCTGCTGTGTGTGTTTTTTGAAAAGTGTGTGTTGGCAGGATTTCTTATTTTTAAGTTCAGTAAATCATATTTAAATCAAGACATATTTAAGAGCAATGGGGTTTCTTTTGTTGTTTATTTTCTTCAGCTAGTGTGATCCTTATCAAATTTGGATACATTTTTATTTCAGTAGTGCATTTGTGCTTTGTGGAAAGCTCTTGTGTTTTCCTGCTTCGTGATGGAGGTGGAGGGTGTTAGAGTAGATTCAAACTGAATAAAAACACAGGAGTTTAAACACAAAGAGATTTTTTCCCTGTAAACTGTCAAATCAAAGTGTTAAGCTGCAGTCTGTTTGACCTGTTGTGCAGAACAGGCCTCTTGGAGCTAATCCAGCATCGATTGAAACACATTTTTCAACAGACTTTTTTTTTCTTTTATAAAGAAATCAAATAGTTAATGATATACATAAATAAAGGAAACAGGAAATGAAGTTAAATAACAGCAGTTGCTGCTGTTATCTGTAGCAGTAGCGGTTTGGCATGCCATTTCTTAAAAGCCCCACATTACTCTCTTCTTTTGTGCAGATTAAATGTCTTAAAGGAGAAAGCGGGATTTGAACCGTAATCTTACAGTGACCAGACTTCCTCTGGAATTTTCCAATTTGTAAGACATGTCACAGCGAATAGACAGGGCCTGTTTAAGTTGTTCAGTACTTTTGCATTATTCATCCATTTGTTATGAAAGTGGGGGTTTGAGTTTGGGCATATTTTTTCTCCCCCACGTCTGA